GCCAGCAGCGTGGAGTGGGAGGCACCAGGCCAGCTCCCCCACCGCGCGCCGCCAGGCCCACTTCCAGCCCACACCCAAAGAGGCCGAGCCAGCTGGACCACCACTGCGCCCGCCCAGGGATAAAAGCGCCTCGCCAGGTGGGCGGGGCCTGGTGGGGAGTGGGCGGGGCTCGCTGGTGGAAAGCGCCTGGCGGCGCGGAGGCCACGTGGAGGGCGGAGCGCGCGTCTCCGGGGGCGGACCCCGCAGGTGAGCGCGGGCGCCTTCTGCCCGCCCCTTCGCCCCGTGGGCCTGCCCTTCCGGGCTGCGGGAGGAGGCGGCAGAGGAGGGGCGAGTTAACCCGGGAGGCAGGTGGGGGAAGTCAGGGCTAGGGTTCCTTAAAGCGCCTCTAATCCCTTCAAACTACTTTACAGTCGTCCTTTCCAGATCTTACCTAGTCTCCGCTTCTCGGGACTGTGTGCGGTGAGTCAGAAGGGAATGGATGCTCGCACGGGTGGTCGCTTTCCAAGTCCGCTGACTGCGGGCGTACCTCGGAGATGTTGCCGTTTGGTTCCAGACCGGGGTAATAGAGTAAGTACAGCAGTAAAGCAAGTTGCAACCTTTTTGAGAGGGAGGGTCTTGCCTTCAGTTTGTAAATAAATCAATAAATAATGAAACACCTGTAAAGCAAAGCACGATAAAAGGAGGTATGCCTGCGTGTGATTAATTCAGGCATGAGTCATAGCCACGGCCTGTTGCAGGACGGTATGTTTTCTCAGCTGTTGGTACTGTACCTTGGATGGTGGGGAGAGAGGTTGTGAAATAAGGATTGTCTTCTATATTTAAAAAATCAAATGCTAGATTCCTTCCTCAACAAAACAAAACACCAATGGAGCTTTCCCTCTGAATGCAAAAATGATTCAGTATTAATAAATCCATTACCACAGATAACCTTTGACATCAGCGAAGAAAAACTGGTCATTGGTAGGTTCTGGGGAAAAGGGAGTAATAGACTTTTATGATCCAGTCCTAACTTGAAGAGAGAACTCTTAGTATTATAAAAATACAAGAAACTTAAATGATCTGAGGAAAGTGATCTCAGAGGTAGCATCAGACTTAACACTGAAACAATAAAAGACCTTTCAGTACAGTGTGAAATCAGAAACGGATGTTTGATATCATCATGTTATTAGCACTGTCAAAAGAACTCAAAATGAGTCTGGAGGCTTTGCTAGAAAGATTTATTCAAGGATCCTGGGGTTTGCAAAGAGAAACACAACTAGGCAAAACCCCAAAGTGTTCCAAAGAAGAAAGGGTTGAAAATAATGGGTTCTGCATTCTTAGCCCTAGGATGGTCCAAAATGGTTATCACTCAGATGTCAGGCAGTCTGGATGATGGGCTCCAGGAGGTCTGGTCAGAGCTGGTGGTCTGGATAATGAGTCCTTCAGGGGATAATCATAGGGTTATCTAGAGGTCTGATGTATATCCAGGCATTGATGCAGGACTGGAAAACTCAAAAGTTTAAGTTGCCGAGCTAGTTAAAGCATCGATCCTTGTGCCTTAGCCTACTTGATTTTAGTAATTTAGCAGTTTGACTATAGTGACTCCCATTTTATTTCTTTACTCAACACAAAAAATATGAGGTATACATTTTGGAAAGAAAATATATTTGCAGTGTGCTTACCTGGAAAGCTCAGGAGAATCAACTGCATGCTGTCACACACAAAAGGAATCAGTAAAGTCTGCAGTAACAAAATCTGCAAAATCATTATCTTTTCTACATACTAGTTATCAGAAAATAAAATTGGGGGAATATAAATCCTATCACAGCAATAGAAAACAAAAACACCCAGGAACACATTTTCAAAATGTGCAATATCTAAAGAAAATAAAAGTCTGAGAGGCATAAGTCAGACTTTCATAAACAGTTATAATGCTTACTTTAGAAAACTCATGTTGTATATATGGTCATTTTGTCCAATTTAATCTATCCTTTTAACTTAATCTCAATAAAATGCCCACTAGATTTCCTGGGAGGGAGGATGTGATTAGAATTTGGCTGATTCTTAAATCAATGTAGAAGAATTAATGTGAGGGAGGGGAGGGAAAATTATGAAAAAGGTAAGGTGTGTAGACCTTTCCTATGAGATATTAAGTAAATATATTACATAATTAAAACAATTTGGCACTAGCATTAGAAAAGACTAGTCAATGGAAAAGAATAAAAAAGCAGATCCAAGCATACAGAGACATTTTATTATATGACGAGGGAAACCTTTCAAATAAAAAGGGGAAAGGATGGTTATTTAGTAAATGGTGCTTGAAAAACTAGTTAACCATTTAGAAAATGAATTAACAACAATAGTAATATACTTATTGGGTGCTTACCAGATGCTGAGCACCGTTCTAAGTGCTGTACACATTAACTCATTTAATCTAGTCCTCTGCCATCGTTATTACTACTAAACCCACTTTACAGATGAGGAAAATAAGGCACAGAATGGTTGTGATTTGGCCAAGCCAAACAGCTAGTAAGTGGCAGAGCCAGGATTCTATTAAGAATTAAAATTTAAAGATTAAAATTTTAATATTAAATTAATCAAATTAAATAATATTTAATTTAATATTAAAATAAAAAATAACCATTTCAAATTACACATGTCTTAAAATATTTTAAAACCTTGAGGTAGTAAAGTCCTTTGAATATAAAACCAAAAACCAAAGTGAAGAAGATTGAGAAATCTAACCCTTAAACATTTACAATTTTGCAATAAAAAAAATAGATAAAAGTAAATGATTTCCAATTGGAACAAATATTTACAGACTTATATGAAGGGTAAATACCTAAATGCAGCACACACACACACACACACCCTACCCCTTAAATACCCTCCCCCAAAAAAACTAATAGAAAAATAGGCAAATGCACAAGCAGCAAATTCACAAGTGAACAAATGCAAATGTCCAAATTATAGCAGATGCTCATCTTCGATAGTAACCAAGGAATTAGAAATTAAAAGCAACAGTGAGTCAATTTTACTTACTGCATTGCTAAACATTTTAAAGGTTAATAAATACTGGCATTGGCAGAGTGTGGAAAAATCTATACTCAATTTTTTTGGTGGTAGTGCATTCGGCACAACTTGAATCAAGATTGAAAATAAGAATAGTATTTGACCAACAATTCTACTTCTAAGACTTCCTCCCGAGGCAACAAATAAATGTTCAAAGGCATATTTATAAAGCTGCTTATCACAGTGTTGTTTATAAAACTGAAAAACTGGATATATCCTGTAAATCCAATAGTAAGGGTTTTAAGTACTTTTAAGGGTTTTACTTTTATTAAGTAAAATAAGGCACAAGAAAAAACTAAACAAGGAAGTAACTGGAACTCTCAAAAATTGCTAGTGGAAATGCAAAATGGTACAACCACTTTGGAAAAGTTTGGTGGTTTATTATAAACTTAAAAATACGCAAGCAATCCTACTCCTAAATCTTCTCCTGATAAATAAAAACACTGACCACAAAGTCCTGTAGATGAATGTTTCCAACAGCTTTATTCATAATCATTCAAAACTGCAAATCATCCAAATGTCTATCACCAGGTGAGTGAAGAAGCACATAGTGGTATGTCCATACAGTGGAATACTACTCAGCTATAAAAAGGAATAAGCCATTGCATTCAACATGGATGAATCTCAAAAGAATTATTCTGAGTGAAAGATGCCAGACTTAAAAACTTACATATTATATGATTATGTTTATATAACATGGTGGAAGATACTAAACCAAATGGAAGGAACACATCAACAGTTCCTAGAGGCTGGATATTGGAGAAGATCGACTACAAAGGGGTCTTTGGAACTGTTTGGAGGGTGGAAATGTTATATAGATTGGTGTTAGTTACAAGACTGTATACTTTAAAAGGGTGAGTTTTTCTAGATGTAAATTATACCTCAATAAACCTCACTTTAAAAATTCTATGCTCTCCAATCATCAAAATGTATTTCTTCATATGTATGGTAAAGTGAAAATATGGATAGCATAAATTAAGTGAAAAGTTGTATTAGTATTTCAAAGAGATGGTTGCACACCCATATTCACAGCAACATGCTTCACAATGACCAACAGGTGGAAGCAACCCAAATGTCCATTAACAGATGAATGGATAAACAAAATGTGGTATATACTACAATGGAATATTACTCAGCCTTAAAAAGGAAGGGCATTCTGACAAATGCTACATCATGGGTGAACCTTGAGGACATTATGCTAAGTAAAATAAGCCAGTCACAAAAAAACAAATAAGGCATGATTCCAATTTTATGAGGTGCATAGAGTAGTCAGATTCATGAAAATATAACATAGAATAGGTTGGAGGGTCCTGGGAGAGAGGGGGAAAGGGAAGTTCAATTCGTATAGAGGTTCAGTTTTGCAAAATGAAAAGAGTTCTTGAGATTGGTTGGGCACATTGTGGATGTATTAACATTACTGAACTGCACAACTAAAAGTGGTTAAGATGGTAAGTTTTATGTTATGTGTATTTTAACACAATTTAAAAAAAAAAACTGTATTACACATCAGGTTGGTGGTGGGACATGTGCATGAATGAAGCACATTAAAATGTTCACAGCGCCCTGGTCAGTTGCTCAGTGGTTAGCTCCTAATTCTTGAGGGTGCCTGGGTCTCAGGTTTGATCCCTGGCCTTGGTCAGGGTCATGCAGGAGGCAACCAATCAGTGTGTCTCTCTCACATCAATGTTTCTCTCTCTCACTCCCTTCCACTCTATCTAAAAACTATTGGAAAAATATCCTTGGGTGAGGATTTACATAAATAAAATATTCATAGCTGTTCTCTCTGGATGACAGTGATTCTCACTTTGTTTTAAATTTATTTTTATTATTGAAACTATTACAGATGTTTCTCCCCTCCCCCCGTTATCCCCCTCCTTTCCAATCCCACACCCAAGTCTCACTTTTTGTAGTTTTGCGTTTGTTTTACTTTGCCTTAAAATGAGCATGGCATACTTACCAGGCAGGGGAGATACCATGATCACGAAGGTGGTTTTCCCAGGGCACGGCTTATCCATTGCACTCTGGATGTGCTGACCCCTGTGATCTCCCCAAATGTGGGAAACTTGATTGCACAATTTGTGGTAGTGGGGAAGGGGGAAAAAATGAGCATGGCATTTATTATAATCTATCACTGTCTTATCGTTTACTTGTTTATTTTCATCTTCCTACTTCATACTAAAGCACAGACTCCTTGAAGGTGTTCATTGCTGAGTCTGCAGTGCCTGCCTGATACAGAGCAGGCATTCACTAGTATTAAAGCAATGGATAAGTGCATTAGGGAGGGGGAATTATTTTCAACTTGAGCAAAAGGCTTTTGGGCATCAGAGGAGGAAGAGATTTCACTTGATATTCAGTGAAAAGGAAGCGACTCAGAGAGTTGATTTTGGAGCATTAGTGAGGGTTGACATGGGGAGCACTTTGCCCCCCCGCCCCATAATCATAAGTAACCTGTCCAGACCATCCCTAATAAACATACAAAGTACAGTGTGCCTGGGTTTGCTCTGCAAAGGTGTCTTCAAGACTAGACTTTATTGATGCCAACCCATCCTTCCTGTTATGCCAAAAACAGTGAAGTCATCTGACCCCTTTCTTTCTTTTATACCCATCAGCACATCCTCTTGGCTTTAGCTTTAAAGATACCCAGACTTGAGTCACTTCTCACCATCTCTTTAGCTACCACCCTGGCTGAACCACTGCTGACCTGAGTCATTGCAGTCACCTGCTAGCTTATTGTAACAGCCTCCTAATTATGTCTCTGCTTTGGCTCTCATCCCCATTCAGTCTGCTGAAACAAAATGGCCATGGAGATCCTGTTAAAATCCAAGCCATGTCACTTCCTTGCTCAAGACCCTCAGTAAAAACCAAAGGCATTCCAGTGGCCTACAAGTTCCTGCCCACCCCAGTCCGTCCATTTTTCGATACTTCCACTTACATTAACTGCGCCTCTGGTGTGATCCTGTAATTTATCATTCAAGCCAAGATCCTTTTGATAGTGAAAAGAGGCAGTGTTAATACTTAGTTATTCATTGTGCCAGGGCAACCAGCACAGTCCTGAGCAAACCAGGCGTATGCTCCTCTACTCACCTCCCGTCCTTTGTGCACAGAGCCAGCCACGCGGCCTTTCCATTCCTGAACCACCCCAGGCGTGCTCCTGCCTCAGGACCTTTGCACTTATTCCTCCCTCTGCTTTAGGCTTCTTACCCAAAACAGACACAGGGCAAGCTCCCTCACCCCATTCAGCCCTTTTCCCAAATGTTACTGCCTCAGTGAGGCCCACTCTGACCACCCAGTCTGATCCCTGCAGCCAGCACTCTCCATTCCCCTCTCCGGCATTATTTTTCTTCACAGTACTCATTACCCACATATACCTGACAGTCTTCTCACTAGCTCATAAGTTCCACAAGGGCAGAAATTGTAGTCAGTTTTCTACCCTAATGTTTTCCCAGTGTGGGGAACAGTGCCTAGTAGTATACAGGGGTGGGCAAAAGTAGGTTAATAATAACAATAAATAATACAAAAATAAATGAACAATATAAGAATAAATTCTATGTTTCACGTACTCACAACTGTAAACCTATTTTTGCCCACTTCTGTATTAGATGCTCAAATATTTTTTGAATAAATAACTTTTTAAAGTTTACTTACACTCCCTTTCAAATAGGTGGCAGTCCATACACTCCTCCTGTACAGAAATTCTGAACAGGTGGCCTTTAAGTTGGCTTTAAAAGCCATGCTTCACCCAGACCCAGGGAAGGTTGTAGCCAGATTCCTGTTGGGCCACACCTGAATGCTAGATTCTGCTCTACCTTATTGGCCAGGCAGCCTCCATTGTGAGGTAGTTCTGGTTTCCCCCTTGCCAGGGACAGCAGGGCACTGAGCCTGGCCCCACATCTGGGTACCAGGACCTCCAGTCCAATGGTGCCCTCTTCCTCCCAGTCACCCTGTTCACTTTGCCTTACAGCACTAAGGGCTAAACTGGGAGGGGCTGAGAGTCCAGGCAAGTCCTGGCATGTGGCCGATCAAATGCAAGGGATGCTGAGGGTTATCCTGAGATGAGACTCTCGTAAGTCCCCCAAAAGCCAGGTGAGGCATAATCAACATCAGCTTTCCCTGCCACCAGTGCTTCACTGATTGACATGCTCGGACAGGACCAGGCACCCTCAAGAATTAGGAGCTAGCATCTCAGGCCTGCAGCCCTGGTTTCTCTGGAAAAAACCCATGGAAGGCTGGTTCGAGGCTATTGCAGGACTTAACCCTGAGCCACCCCCACCTACCCACCATGTCGAAGACGTCATTGCTTGAAAGGGACGACAGCGAGTCCAACTCCCAGGATGACGAGTCCAAGTCAATCTCCGAAAGTAGCAGAAGCACCAGTTCAGAGAATGTCCATCCTGCTGAGAACGCCAATAGACTGTCGTAAGTGGCTGCATTGCCCTTGCAGATCTGAGGTCAAGCACTGCAGCCTTCACAGCTCTGGGCCACATCTTCCTACTTCTCTCTTCTCTACACACGTGTCCCCATTGAACAGGAGACGAACAGATGAAAGACAGAACCTTCAGAATCTGAGAAGGTTGATCCATGTGGCTCTGGGTAGTATACCTCTTGCCCAGTGTTTGCAAAGAACGCAGATAGAGTAGCCATCCTCAGCATGAGCTTCTTGATTGCAGGAACAATTTTGTGTCTTAGGCTGGCTGTTCTTTCTGCCACAGGGTCAAGCTGCCCTCCTCTCCCTACATCTGTTCTTCATGTTCTCTCTGTCTCTTTCTCCCTGCCTCCTTCCCTCCCAAAAACAAACCCATCCCGGAAACAAAAGGTCATGTCCTAGCCCCATATGTGTCTACTTTTACTGCCATAAACTCAGACGTGGAAATCTCTCTTAGGACTTTATTGCCAACCAGACTATTACCTAGTAACCAGGTCAGATAATAGCCATGGGCATAATGAGATTATAAATGACAATACCCAGTGTTGAGAAGGGTGTCAGGAAATGCCCTCTCTCATGTCCTTTTGGGGGAAAATAGAACTGATACCTTTGTAGATGGCAATGTTGTAATGTATTGCAAATCCTAACATTTATATAAAATATACAAATACTTTTTGGTATATACTTTCTTTGAAAATACACACATGCACACGCATGCGTGCCCACACATACACACACACACACACACATACAACTGCCAGTAGTGACTGCTTCTAGGAAGAATTAGGAGACAGACAAGGCAGAGATAGATTATGTTTACTATATAAAGGTTTTTGGTTCTTGTTTTTGTCTTACCTTTTGAATTTCATACTGTGTTACTTTTTTAAAGTATAATTAAATATAAATATATTCTTTGGTCAAAATAATACCACTTCTAGGAAATTTTCCTAGTGATAACATAGGTAGGTATGCATGATGATTTTACTGAAGCACTGATTATAACGTTGACAATTTAGAAACTATAGATCTTTGAATAAAGTATGGTACACACAAACAGTAGGGTCCAAGACAGCCATTACAAGTGATGAAGGAAATCTATGGTGTGGGAAAATCTACAGGACATTCTGTTCATAAGGAAAAACAGTTTAGGATACAGTATTATAATGGTTCTCTTTGTGTAAAATTGTGCACTTTTATTTTTCATCCTCATGCAAGGACATTTTTTTTCCATTTTTTGTTCAGATAGAGTGGGAGGGAGAGAGAGAGAAACATCGACGTGAAAGGGACACATCGAGTGGCTGCCATCCACATGACCAACCAGGGCCAGGGACAAACCGCAACCGAGGTACATGCCCTTAGCGGGAACCGAACCCGGTTCTCTTTGGACCGCAGGCCGACGCTCTAACCGCTGAGCCAAACAGGCCAGGGCTAAAATTGTGCACTTTTAAAAGCTAATGCGGGTGGCCCAGAAGAATGTTAATCAAAATGTTAAAGGTGCCCTGGCTGGTTTGGATCAGCGGTTAGAGCATCGGCCTGCGGTCCAGAGAGATCCAGGTTCGGATTCCGCTAAGGGCATGTACCTTGGTTGCAATTTGTCCCCAGCCCTGGTTGGTCGTGCGGGAGGCAGCCACTCGATGTGTCCCTTTCACATCAATGTTTCGCTCTCTCTCTCTCTCTCTCTCTCCCACTCTACCTGAACAAAAAATGGAAAAATGTCCTCGATGAGGATAAAAAAAAAAAATGTTACAGGTGATGATTCCCATTTGGTGAACTTTGGGCATTTCCTTTTATAACAGCGATGTAATATTTTTCAAGGAAAATATATAAATAGAAAAAAATTTTTTAATTCCCCAGGAGTTCCTCACATATGTTCTACTCTCCAGGGCCCTGATCTATATGATCCTGTTAGCTAAGGCGCAATGGTTTCTCCAAAACCTGTCTCGCCTTTCCCAGGAGATCTGACTCAAGTGGGACAGGACACCACTGTAGGAAAGAAGTGAAGGAAGGAAGGCAGCAAGGGGGACGGAAGAACACATCTTTGGGATAAATACACACAGTAGGTTAAGGGCAGTTAGAACGCAGAATCCAGTGCCCCTTACCTCTGGGTTCAGGTGCTCTTGCATCAGCTTTTCATTTCCGTTCCTTTTCGGTTTTCTTCTTACGATCCTGTTCTCACTTCCCTCTCCCCAGTGGATTGGAGCTACCAGCACAGATGAGAACATTTAGAACCCTGGCACCAACACCCTGCCGGACACATAGTAAGCATTCTACATGCACAGTAGCAACGTTATTAAATGTTATTGAATACATAGCATGATAAGTCCAAAATGAATACTGGTTGAGTAAATGAATGAAAGAGTGAACTAGAACCAGTAAATGCTCCATATGTGGTGGGAGATTATTTTTTAGAGAGTGAATTAGTCAATGACCTGGCACCAGTGATCACTCCATAAATTGAGAAAATTATTAATTTTTTCATTGTCTATCTAAATGCCACAGCTAGTAAGTCTTAATAAATATTATTTGAGTGAATAAATCATGAAAAAAAACATTGGATGAGAATGAATAAAATGGTTCTAGGGAGTTCTCCAAATGGTAGTAATTGTTAGCAACTTTTTCTTTAACACTTAGTGCATGTTAAATATTTGTTGAGCGGATCTGGCTGGTGTGGCTCAGTTGGTTGGGTGCTGTCCTGTG